CAAACACTGATTTATTTTAAAGCGTTGTTATGATGAAGATTTTAGTAACGACCCTATTATTAATTTTTTTTTTTTGGACAATTGTTATATCTAATGCCTAATATATTACATGTTGTACCATAGGCCTGCCGGTAAATTTAGATTTTGCTTTGATGTTGCTGTAGTGTATTTGCGAGAAGAATCACAGTTCTTTTAAGTCACGCCCACTTTTTGGCATCAAGCCATACTGTGACAAGACCTTGACTGATGTTAATTTCCAGACCTTGGCAATGGCTGATGAATGAATGAAGTCAACATTTTAATTTAAAAAATACTAACATTAACTTGCTAAAATTCGCCTCGTAATTTTTTCCGTATTTTTTCCATGCGTTTCCTTATTCAGTAAATGATAAGTTCTATCTCGAATTCTCGTCTTTCTATTTTCTTTCTCCAAGTACATGTAGCAATGTAACATCAGAAGTCCCTGCTTTTTTTGACCTCATAAAGAATTTCAAACTTTCATTAAAATGTCAGAAATCATTTCAAGGTGTCTATCAGGGACATATATACTAGACGGTATATGTCCATGTTTCTATACGTCGATTGCCATATATAAAAATTTCAACGGTGATGTTTTCCATTGACACCCCCCTCCCTCTTTTAAAAATAACAATCTTGAAAGATGAATTTTTTTTCAGAGTTGACGGTGTCAGTATAAAACATGTAATTTACAATCCTTACCCCTGTACCTGACCAAAAAACATGTCTTCTGTGTCTTCAACATTTCGAAAGTTCAACATCATCACATGCACCCTTTCCGAATTTTTTATCAGTGATTTGAAGCAGCGCCGTAGCAAAATGTGATCCTTGCAGATGGAGATGGCTATTTATACTACAGACTCCGGACCGTGGCTTGAAACCATGTAGGAGGCGGTGCTGATTATTGATTTGCTTTTCTCTCATTGGTCATCTGTTACAAGTAACGTACACAATAGATATTAATTGGCTATCGGTAAATACACTCACAGTTTTTATTCACTCGGGGCTCCGCCCCTCGTGAATGAAAAACTGTGAGTGTATTTACCGATAGCCAATTAATATCTATAGTGTAACTATAACTAAGACACGTTTCTATATTCTTTGTTTTTGCTTTTAGCATTTAGAAGTCAAGATAAACTTTGGCGATATAAAGGAAGAAATTAGTTATTTGAAGACAAATAGGAAGAGCTTCCATATGAGTAGGTCACGTGCTTTTGATTCCATGGTAGAAGAAATGATAGGAAACAACATTGTATCTAAATCAGGGCAACAGCCTTCGATTGCTGCTCAAATGAAAAGAAACAACATTCTATCTAAATCAGGGCAACAGCCTTACACTGCTGCTCAAATTTCAAAGCCTATCTCAACTTCAACACAATTTTATAGAACCTCAGCTATCTCAGGAACAGATGAGAACGTCACATGCAAGAATGGATCGTGTGAAAAAATAGGAAACAGAAAAATAAATCAAATCTCAGGAATGAATACTTTATCAAGTTTGGAAACAAGTGCTGGAAATCGGCATTGTGTGGATAAGAATTATTTTCCGCAGCCATCCGGTCCTTTAGGAGAACAAGACTATAAGGAAACATGTACTAAGGTCCACAAACATACGGAAACTTTAACAAGTGAAATCAACGACTATGATTTCCTTGAACTTCTTGATAATGACTTACATTTAGAGCAATTTAGAGAAAATGTTACCCATGAAACTGACGGACACATCGGTCAAAAAACTTCTGATTCCCCACCTCTTAATATAAAGGGCAAGGAAATCACTGCTGTTCAGCCATATGCAACCAGTAATATTCTTGAGAGTTTACTACGAAAGGCGAAAGGAGTCAGATCGTCTTCTGAACTACAAATTTCGTAAATCTCCACCAAAAGCATAAATTTTGAAATCAGTTTTCGTTTTCATACCTTGATTAAAATTCAGGTTATTCTAGAACTTTCAATTTATTATTATATGAAAATTTGATTCAATTGATTATCTTTCATAAAGTATTGAATATACCATTTACTTGAAATTTCATGGAATGTTCTCAGTCCACTGCATTTATATACAATCGCGCTTTTATTATTTGGGTAATTCTTAAGCATCCTTGCAAAGTTATTCATGGATGAAAGGTAAAATTAAGGCTATTATGTTCTTAATTATATTTGCATATTTATGTTTTGAATGTAATTTTTTGGCATACCCGGTTTAAAATTTTCTTTTTTATATTTATTTCAGGTATGAAAAAATAAATAAAAATACGAATATCATATATGTGTGTATCAAATATTAGGAATACCTTTATTCATGTATTTTTGAATTTGAGATACAATGCTATTCGGGATAGAATCAGTTTAGGTCTTCAATGCCTCTCTCTCTCTCTCTGAAATTATAAGTATTTGTAAGAAAGTTTTGATAATTCTGATTTTTTTTTTTTTTTTTTTTTTTTTTTTTTTTTTTTTTTTTTGTAAAATAGACTTCCCCATAGGAACTAAAAGGTTTTAAGATTATTTTTGTTTTCATTGCTAAAACATTAATATTAAGAAGTTTGGTTTTCTTTAATTTTTAAAGTCTCATTCAACATTTGACTGTTTTATCTCAACTACGTATACATTTTGTTTTCATTTTGTATGTTAAAGGCTCTAATGTGTTTCTTATGTAAAAGTCACAATATGTTTTGCAATGTATATTTTACATGTACTGTACTAGTGAACACTTACCTCAGAAAGGTCCTTCATTGTCATTCAGAGAAGATCCAAAAGACAATATGCATGTTGATATGTAAAAACATAGCATAGAAAGTACTCTTAAATTTGAATCTGGAGTATTTCTTGTTGTACAAACATTATTAGAATATATAGAGAGAAGTAACACTCTTTCATCAAAATGGATGATTGGGAAAAACATTGCGACAATAATTTCATGATAGAATGTATATATATATATATATATATATATATATATATATATATATATATATATATATATATATATATATATATATATATATATATATATATATATATGAATTGTACTGAAAAACTCTTATAATTTCTTTTTATGTGTTTAGGAAAATGGAGCACGGGTAAATCAAGTGCCTTTTTTGTAGTTCTGCAGTTTCTGTTTAATAGGCTCAATTTTACAAGAACGTGACAAGATAGTTATTAGGTACATGGTTTTCTGTAAAATGCAAACACTTCGTACGAAGTGGAATCATTTTTTTTAATTGCAGTAAAATAAATCAAATATCTGGATAATAATGTGATACTTGGGAATGATTTTGCAAAAGTTCTTCAATATTTGTTTTTGCGAACATTTACTTGTATAATGCCGGTATTTAAAGCGCTATTAAACAGTATTGGTTTAGTGAAGTAAAGGGGAGAGACTTAAACAGAATATATTGGCAAAAAATGTAAAAAGTTTCCAGACACATTATGAGTTTTTTAGCTTTGTTTATAAATCACTCCCGATCAATTCTTACTGTAGAATTATACGTACCAGTGCTTCAAAAGCACCTTTTTTTATTTGGTAAACGCTTTACCATTATAAGTTAAGCTGTGTATTCAGCCATAATTTCAAGACTTAATGCTCTTGTGGTTAAAAAAATATGTATACTATTTCTTTTTTCCATAAAATATTTATACGCTTTAAATTAACTTTTTGACTAAATGTTAAAGAGACGGGAAAACGGGAAAACTGACAAAAGTATAATTTTTGCATGACACATGCAAATTTTACTCAGCTCTTGAAGATATTATGATTCAAAAAATTACAGATTTCAGAAACTAAAACATCTACTTTTATTTAGAAAAATAAAAGTAAAAAATATCTTTGTATAACCCAATACAAAAATATTGCTTCACCGTTTCCTCTTTATTGCACGTATGCACTGAAAAGTTGAAGAATTAACCATGGTTTCAATTCCATAGATATAAATGTCGGATGACCGAGAATTTTGATACAATCTTCAACAAAGATGATTAGAACTTAATCCCCACTTTTGCTAGCGCTATTCAACGTTGTTTACAAGTTTCACGCTAAAAATAAAGGAAGCGTAACTTTGACATCGCTGACATTGACGATAGAAACTACGCAATAGATACATTTCTTTTTCCGGCACTTATATTTTGCAGTTATTTTCTAGCTTTACAGTGCAGTTGAGTTTTCAAATCTTTGCTATATTCATATTTCACATAAATCTTTTGTTATGTGATACAATTAACCTCAAAAGAAACACATTATTTTGACTCATTATGTAACTTTAAGACTTAATTTTGACATTACATTTTTTGATTTCTTTTTACTTTGGGGCATCAAAATCTGAGTAAGTAAAGGTATTTTTGAAGCTGCTAACATATCTATATATGAATCCTTTTGGTTTAAATGGGTATCTTAGGCCTGTATTATTAGTATATGACAGTGTTTAATAAACTATATTGCAAAACAACCATATATTAGATATTTGAGAACTAAAAGGCTTTACATTATCTGTTTTTATTACAGATAGAACACTGGAGGTAAAGTAGATTGAGAGTAATAAACTCAACAGTCTAAAACCAAATTTTTGCAAGGGGATTAAAAAAGTTTTATATTGATTTTCATAAACATAAATTCACGCATTTTATTAGATATCCAAAGAGCCGTTTTAAGTGCCATAAATTTACATTGAATATTGATAATTTGTAATAAATTATGAAAAATGTACGTGCTTTGTTCTCGTTTTTTTAATTCCTTGATAGCAGATATAGATTGTCCAATGCAAATAATGAGCAATAATAAGGCAATAATTGACAATAATTAAGAAATGAAATACACGTTAATTTGTACTTTGTAAAATCTATAAAAAAAAATTTAGCAGAGCCATTTTTAGATGATTTTGCGAATCTGTTTGACAGAAACATCGCTTTCATTTTTTAATGACATGCAGAGGCCAATATTGATAATTTATTATCTTTGCGTTTTGTGAATAAATTGAAATAGTTCTTTATTAAATATTGCGTTCACAAATAAAAGGATATTTAGATTGACAGCTACCATCATTCAACTTATAATCCTCAGGTTTAATAAGATTCATACAATGTTCATTGTTATTGAAATTATCAGGCTGGTTAGGTGACCACAGATGATGTAGACCCGGATCCACAGACTGAAGAGTTGACCACCAGACCATATTTCCTTCTTCAAAGGCGTCTGTACCGCCAATAAAGACATACTCTGAAAAACAATGTCAGATTTTAATTTTTTTATCACAAGAATTACCTTGGTTTCACCAGTTACAAATTTATTTTATCGAAAATAACTTTATCATACAAAAGGAATACATGTAGTTGCGAACATTTCTTTCACATTTTGTCAGTGTATTTCATGAAAATGAGAATTAAAGGTATTATAATATCATTAGTTTTGGTTTAAAATGACTATGAATCTAAATTTGTCACTACCTGCATTCAATTCTCTCGCAATGTTCTTCACAAAATCATATTCTTCGACAGTTTCAATCTCTGTAAGCCTTGAACCATTACTTAAACAGTCTCTCTTTAAATGTAAATAACAAAGGGAGTATCAAAAATATAAACCTGCAATAACTGACTGGGTTTATTGAGATATTTTAGTTCAATTGGTTGTTTTATAAAATTTCCCTGAATGTATGAAGATGGATTTTCATGATGACTCAAACTTTGATATTAAGCAAAGGTTACAACTCAGTTTTATGTTCAGTATAAATTATGTTTTCACATGGTATGATTCTGTCGCCCTTCTTACTTGTGCATTGATCCATGTTTTCATTGTAAAAACTGGAAGGTATTGGGATTTCCCAAAGATTCTCCATTCAGCGGAACCTAAACAAAGGTTCATTTTATATTTTATCATTTCTCTTGGAAATTCAACATACAAAGAGGTCTTAATATGAATCTAGCAATGATCTAGGGAAATAAAACTTTGGCAGATCTATGAAGCCAATTATACAAACGTAAACGATTCATTTATCAATACAGAGAGGAATTTATTGATAATATTGTGTTTCTTTGATACAACTTTTCAAAGGATAATTTCATTTACAGTAAAAAGAGATTTTCATATCGATTACTGTAAAAACAATTATTATTCGCATCATCTTTCATTCGCGATTCCTCAGTTTGAGATCAATCCGCGCCCATTAATTTTCGCGACTGAGGAAACATTCTCTACAAATACAAAAGCAATAAATGGTTCCCGGCCATTATTATTTGCGAGTAAACATATGTCGCAAAACCAAGCGAATAAAAGTTGATTTTCAGTAATGCCCTAGAAAAAAGAAATTTTCAACATTTATGAATATATGCTCAATATAATCTTGGCCCTCCTCAAACATTTTCTAGAACAATATATATTTAAAAGGGTTTCATTCTTATGCTAAAAACTTTTACAAAATGAAATTTGTTTTTTTAATTAAATGTTATTCATGTATTGTATTGTACAGTCAGTTCGGGGTAGAGGGTTTAATTCGTTGTTTCCATGGTGTGTAAAATGTTAAAGTACGTATTGTTTGTCTATCAAAAAGCTCAGCTAACAGTTGAAAAATGAAATATGCCTAGTGACAAGTCTGTTTGAATTTAACACGAATATTATAACTCGCACAAAACCAAAATAGCATATCTTATATTTATAATTTAGATGTTTAAAAGCAGTAAAAGTACACTTAATGTTCATGATTGATTGTATGTTGTTTTACGCCCCATTCAAGAATTTTTCACCCATATAGAGACGTCACCATCTACCGGTGAGGGTTTTTTGACCTTTACTCGGCACTCAGGGCCATTGAGCAGTGAGGGATCTTTATCGTGCCAACGCCTGTCGTGACACGGGACCTCGGTTTTTAAAGTCCTATCCGAAGGACCCGCAACTTTCACTTCAAAGTGCCGAGCGCTTGGCGAAGGAACAGTTGCTACCCATTTTTTATCGAGCTATAGGTCAGTCGCGGCCGATATTCGAACTCACGACCTCCCGATCACGGAGCGAGCGCTCTACCGACTGAGCTACCGTGAACGGTCACTTAATGTTCAAATGTATAGATATTCTATATTGTTATATTTTCATTAACGTCTCTGTAACCTTATTGTTACGAACTTTAATTAGCACCATTTTCTCCTTGTATTTTAAGGTGTGATTACATGTATACAAGAAAATACCAAACTTGATGAGAAGATTTATTGAGAAATTCATACTATACACCATATATAAAGAAAACAATATTGTAGAGATTCGAAACCACATATATCTAAAAATGTAGATCTTCTCAAATTCTGTTTTAATTACAATAGTGTAAGTCGACTCTCCAGCTATTTCTTGAATATGTTTAGTTTTAATACCCGTGGTCATAGAAAACATCAAAAAGCTTCTTCTTTTTTCAAAAATGCAAAACAATTATGAAAAGGATATTTTATTTATCTCTTTAGTAAAAAAAAGAGAAAATACGTACTTGATGCTGTTGATGTCAAATGTATAAATCTCAAGGAAGGCATCAGTTGTGAGATCCCTACAGGTTTCGATAAAACACATGTTTTCGTCACTCCATTAAAGAAAACTTCCGAACAATCTAGTTTACAGTTGTAAATACAAGATGATATACTTTGTATTCCATTAATCTCATGTATACCATCAAAACCATTATAAACAGGACGTTTGTTGTCGTTTTCTGAAACTCGGGAGAAAAAGGAAAATCGTTTAAAGCCGACAGAACCACCAAAATAAAGATCAAGAACAACGCCGATGAGAAGACAACGAAATTTCATTTTAAATTTAATCATTTAAGATGCCTTCTATGATCAAATTATCAAATTATTCATGTTTGTCGAACTTTCCTTTCAACGGCAAAATAATCTATGAATTGATCTATGATACTTTTATAGACCAAATCACTGATGTTTTGTACATCCGCAAGGAAAATAGTTTTTCAATGAACACTATACAAAGTGTTGTTTTATTAGCCTTGAGCAGAAAAAACACCATGCAGATTTATTAGTTCAGCATGCCTTGATCCCTGTTCGATCATAGACGAATCGAAATAAATCACATATTTTGTCGAGTTGCGATGACCTCTCTGTCCATTCATACACAAAAGAGATGGACAAGATATTCTTCCAACTAACGAGATTGAATACTGTTCGGTATCTTCATATTTCATCTATATAAACGGAAAGGGTTTATAGCACTACATGTTCACTGGATTTAAAGCCATATTCACCGGAGGGTTAATGCGCTTGCATTGGCGATTGTGACGTCACAAACAACATCTCAAACAGCGTTGTAAAGCCTATCGCCGGATTATTTTCCAAACATGTCGATGTCTTACACACAACGAAAGGAACACGCGGAAGTTATAACTTGTAATCCGGACATTTTTAATCTTTTCGCGACAGAAGTTCGTTAATGAACTTGGTATCGCCATGCAGCCTTTGTTGTCTTATTTATTCAAATCCAGAGTACATAATAAAAAATTATGGATATTGGACTTCGCCTTGGTCAATATTGATATTTTTCTTGTGAACAAAGCATATTTGTCACCAATACTGAATATAAGCATACCCGCGTAAAAATCTTTAAAATGCATTTAGATACTAGATGCAATAGATATTACTGCAATGGACAACGTCTTGGTATGGAGTTGCTGCAGAAGTTGTTGATATTGGTCGATACAATGACCTTGACTGCCGAAAATTCACAAATTCCTTAGAGTTTTCCAAATGACGATAAATAGATGTTAACTTAAATAATTAAGAAATAATTCCTGTGTCGGAGGAATTTTTGGAGAATATACCCCGATAGTCGAGAGATTTTGTTGGCAAATAAAAACCGAGCTCGAAGGCCGAGGTTTTTATTTGCCAACAAAACCTAGAGAGAAGAGTATATTCTCCAACAATTCCGACAACGAGGGAATTATTTCTATTCTACTAAGGCGAATATGAAAACTTACATAAAGAAAATTGCAGAAGCTAGATTTGGACGTCATTGTAAGTGTCTTATGACGTCACAATTGAATGTTTTCCTCGTTCATTTGTATCTCAAGGCTCAGAAAAGTATGATGTAATCCGAACCCAATCTAAATGTTTTCTCACCAATTTGCTTCACAATCAGAAGATACCTCTATCCTTTTCCTAGTGAAGGCAGTCAAAATTAGAGGAAACCGATTTAAAATTATCGATAATTTGTTGATGACGTTTGTGGTTTATTGGAGAATAATGGCTGCGGCATCTCTTTGATCTTTGCAATTTCTTTGAACAGACTGCTACGGAGCATGTCACGTGACTGCCTGATCACGTGATTCGCGCATGGGCAGAACGGTGGCAGATGTGCATTAAGATCGGAGAGGACTACTTTGAAAAATAATAAACACTGAAACCTCATTTTATGTCTTTTAAGGCAGGTATTCAATTAGTTCGCGAACTTTTTGATCACCCCTGGTAAACCCCGTATGCAGGTGATGAAGGTATATTGCTGCATAAGTAAGGGAAGTTGACGATTGAAAAGTTAATCATCACGTTTATCATAAAGCTTGGTTGTTAGATTACCATAAACTATACTTCATTAAAGCCCTTGTTTGCTAGGATAGTATTGAAATTAAGAAACGTCAAAAAGAGTTTAGGGTTCGTGACAATCTAAAATAATTTTTTGTAAAGTTCCGCAGACAGTAAAATATTGAATAACTTGACTTCATGTCGATGCAAGAGTTAATTCATCTATCAGTTTTGCAGGCACTATCTGAAAACACGTTTTGTGTGATAATATTCTGAATTTCTAACTTATGAAGATTGTTAATTTCCCGAGGACAGTGTATATTTACGTCAGATATCAGCTATATTTTAAACAAATCTGCCAGGAAATCACAAGATGCCCTAATGATAGCATTATTGCATGATTCCAGGCCTAGGGAATATGAAAGTAATACATGAAATATTTTTCATTGAAGGCATGTGTCCTTGTTAATGAAAGTACCGCATTCTGTCTAACTTGAAACGATCATCATGCAAGTACTGCCACTAAACATTTTCAGCCATCTTTAATGGTACATGGTCACGGAAACTAGTCAGAAAATTTAAAAAAAATAATTGTTCAAATAATATTGTTTACTGATTTTACGTACTGAAGAATATTCAGCAATTTCCTCAAGAATAAATTCTTTTTGTAATTGACAAAAAAGGTTAAGCCTACAAAACATGAAATATAAGCAAAGGAACTTAATATTTTTCAAGAGATTTTGAGTCAATCTGTACCATAATTTTCAAAATATTTTACACACGTTTTAGTTACAAAGTTTCCATGCTGTAGTTTAATGAAGAACAGACACAAATGATTGTGAAAATGGGTAAAATATATGCCTTTTCTTGCAAACTAATGACAGATTTGGTATTTTTAATTATTATTAATTCTTTTAACTTTTTTTGTACTAACAAAAGATTCATTCTTTTTACTTGATGGTTCTGGGGGTTACTTTCAGATTTACTGCGCAAATATTAATCAAATAAAGTAAATTTTAATTTAAAAAATCAATAATTCATGGAATTTTTATTAGTGACCAATCATCAAAAATACGTATAGATTATTAACAAATATCTTGAATATTAGAGATAGAATGTGTATTTACATTATTTCATAATAGATATTACTATACATAAACACAATATGAAACAGATCTATTACTCAAGCGATATATTACATGTACATTTTTTGAATGAAGATTTCCTAGCAAGTTTGCATCTTTCAATATAAGTGCAATTTCGTTAGCTCAGATAAGATAGTACTTAGCGGATTCCCTAAGACCTAACAAAAAGTTAATACGATGTATATTCTACGTTAAGAGGTATTGCACTTTGACTGAA